AATAGAATTAGAATAGAGTGCTAGAGTTAGAGGGTCAAATAAAGATATTATATATATATATATATATATATATATATAATAACGTAGTATATTACTTTTGAAAGGAGTAACTAGTAATGAGTAATAAATAAAACATTTTGAGGAACTAGCCCAACACTGTTGGCCAATGGTACGCCGCTTCCTGTGTGCCCCGTCTCTGATTGGTTCATATCTTTGTTTTGCCGGATGTAGGTCTCTGGATCTGCAGTGGCCATGGCGGAGGTCAGCGGCTGTTTGAGGAGCGGAGCACACAAACTCTCTGTTGCTATAACACTACAGAGACGTTATCATCATCATCTGTCCGCGGCGGATGAGTTTACGAGCCCTGCCGGTTCTGACAGGACTCACGGAGTGACCAAACAACCGCGGATCCGAGGCTACTGCACCGGACCGCGCGAGGAGCACCGGAGCCCAACCGCCTACTACGACATCCTGAGGGTTTCGCCAGGCGCCACGCCAGCGCAGATCAAGAGCGCCTATTATAAACAGTCCTTCATCCATCACCCGGACCGGAACCGGAACCGCAGCGAGGACGCGGCGCGGCTCTTCGCGCTCGTCGCAGAAGCCTACAGTGTGCTCGGCGACAGCGGCCTCCGGAGGAAGTACGACCGCGGGATACTCAACCGGACCGACGTGCAGAGCGCCGGGAGACCGTCGACGCCTCGACGCGCCCCTGACGCGAGCGCTCACTTCGACTTCGACGCGTTCTATCAGGCGCATTACGGCGAGCAGCTGCAGAGAGAGCAGCAGATGAGACGCAGGCGAGAGCAGACGCGCCAGCAGCAGCAGCACAAGCTCAGAACCTGGAGACGGATGAAGATGAACGAGGTCACGGTCGCCTTGCTGCTGCTCTGCGGAGGCGGCATTCTTATCAGCCTGAGGTCTTGAATCAGCGCCGACGAGGTTTGCTTGTAAAGGCTTCATAGACATGAACGCTGTTAACCACGGAAGAAGAAGCTTAGCAGTTGAGTGTTGTATTTACATCATTATTCGCATTTCCTGTGAATGTGTAGCCTATATAACAAGAAGAGGAAGAAGTGCAGCAAACTAATTGCACTGCAATCCACAGTGTTTAGTACGATAGTGAAAAGACAAATACAAGTTTGTAGCACTGTATAATTTTGGCCGTCTGAGACACATTTTGTGAATCCTAGAAAATGCATCATAAACCTGTAACTGATTAATGACCATTGCCATCAAAGTTCACCTACTATAAGGTTAATTTTTTAATATACACTACCAGTCAGACATTTTTGAACGGTGAGATTTTTAATGTTTTTAAAGAAGTCTCTTCTGCTCGGCAAGCCTGCATTTATTTGATCCAAAATACAGCAAATTCAGCAATATTGTGAAATATTTTCACTATTTAAAACAGCTGTTTTCTGTGTGAATATCTGTTAAACTGTCATTTATTTCTGTGATGCGCAGCTGTATTTTCAGCATCATTACTGCAGTCTTCAGTGTCACATGATCTTCAGAAATCAGTATAATATGCTGATTTGCTTCTTTAAAAAACTATTATTATTATTATTATGTTGAAAACAGCCGAGTAGAATTTTTTCAGGTTTCTTTGATGAATAGAAAGTTCAGAAGAACAGCATTTATCTGAAACAGAAATCTTTTGTGACATTATAAATGTCTTTATCGTCACTTTCGATCCATTTAAAGCAGCCTGGATAAATAAAAGTATTAATTTATATAATGTCTTAACCCAAAAAAATATATATAATTCTACTGACTCCAAGTTTTTGACTAGTATAGTGTATAATGTTACAAAAGCTTTTTATTTCACATAAATGCTGATGTTTGAATCTTTCTATTCATCAAAGAATCCTGAAAAAATGTACTCAACTGTTTTAAATATTGATAATAATAATAGTAATAATAATGCATGTTTTTTGAGCAGCAAATCAGAATATTAGAATGATTTCTGAAGGATCGTGTGGCTGGAGAAATTAAGCTTTGATCACAGAAATAAATTACATTTTAAAAGACATTCAAATAGAAAACGGTTAATTAAAATAGTAAAAATATTTCACAATTTTACTGTTTTTGCTGTATTTTGGATCAAATAAATGCAGGCTTGCAGAGCAGAAGAGACTTCTTTATAAAACATGAAAAATCTTACTGTTCAAAAACATTTGACTGGTCGTGTAAATAAAAGCAATATTTATTCAGCATACTTGTTGCTGATGTTCATTTACAATTCCAATAATTAGAGCTATATATAAATGAATATTATATTTATAATATACTATGTCATGGGTTTTTGGTTTGTGCAGGATGCCTTACGTTAATATCAAATGATTTTATAAAACAATCTTTGCTTCACACGCTCACTACATGGACTAATCGGTGTAACCGTAAATCTCTCTTTATTCTCCACACTGCATTTAGAATGAAAACCTTTCTTTGTGGTACTTTATTCACAGAAATATAAAGTTTAATGTGAAGGTCATCACTTGATACAAAATCCCAGAATGTTCCAAACTCATTCCACTGTTAGCATCAAGGATTCATATATAAACAAAACGCAGTAGTAGACGACGTTAAATAACACGACAAGGGAAAGATGCATGGACTCTACAGCTGGAGCTACAACACATCAGTCATTTTCACTTATTCAACGATGATGATGATGGAGACATCAAGCACAATATACTCTCCCCAAATATGTGATTTGTGTAATTATTAGTAATAAACAGTGTAAGGTTTGCATTCAATGTTGACTTTAAAAGCCAGTTAATTCAATACTGGCCTGTTTCCCCACTTTATTATCCCACAGTTATCATATCCACGAAATCAGTCGAGCTCTACTGCTGCATTGAGCAGGTTTCGTCTCTTTATCCAAATGTGACCCTGGGAACATGATCTTTACTTAATATCCTAATGATTTTTGGCATAAATGAAAAATCTATAATTTTGACCCATACAATGTATTGTTGGTTATTGCTGCAAATATACCCCAGCGACTTAACACTGCTTTTGTGCTGCAGGGTCACATATTTTTATTTATTTTTTGAATCTGAAGCATGACTCTTATCGCTGGAGGTTTGGGTGACCCTGAACTGTTGGGACACAACTAGTTCACATTAACAACAAACGACCCAGTTAAAGGTAAAGTACATGCCGTTTTGGTTCTGTCTCTCGTAACGGTTAAAATCATGACTGTTCTTCAAGCATGAGGACTGTTGAGGTTCAACCACAGCAGAGCAGAACTCTTGACAGCACACGCACCAAACCAAACACATGAGAAACACAAGCTTTGAGAGAGTCGCACAGACACATGGGAAGGTACTGAACATGTTCTCGAACAGACGCGGTCACTGTGCAAATATGGTGAAGCTCTGTGGATTGTATTCACGAGACTCCGAGATGTGAGAGAATCTCCTGAAATCAGATCCTCATCTGCTTTGAGAGCGAAGCAGTCAAAAAAACAGACTTATTTTATGTTAACATGTAATTGTTTAAATCAAGTTCACACGAGTTATAAGGTTTTATCAGGTGATCCTGACTTGAATTGGTTATAAAAAGAATATTCATTCTTCATTTACTTCGTCGCTCCGAACATGTACGAGTTTCTTTCTTCTGATGAACATAAAGAAGGATATTCTGAAGAACGTTGGGACGGTAGCCATTGACTTCCATGGAGAAAAATACTATGGAAGTCAATGGCTGCCAGCAACTGTTTGTATATTTTATACATTTATTCTTTTGTGTTCAACAGAAGGCAGAAACACTTACAGGTTTGGAACAACATTTATAGAGAATAAATGATTTCTCCTTTTTGGCCGAACTGTCCCTTTAAATAAGACACTCTGCCATTGGTGAAGATCAGGTGATGTTTAGAAGCCCTTTGTGCAGGAAAACATCACGAAAATGTCTCGCACAAAAGTACAGTGATGTCCAAGTCACCACAGCCCATAAAAAGGTTTGTCTTCTTTTACATTTTTGGCCATTTTTTTGAAAATTACCAATAGATTGAGTGATAAAAAAATATCACATTTTACACTCAAAAAAGTACATCCCAAAATCTATCAATGTCCTAAATCCTCCTGACTACCAGCTGTGGAGTTTTATGCTTTAGTGATTTCTCTGAGACGTTACATGTCACAGTTGTAAGTCTGGAGTCCTGTACAGAGCACATTCAGGGCTTTCCAGAGATACCCAATGATTGGATGCTTCACCGAGACCACTCCTTCTCTTTGGTCTTTAAAAATGGCTGACATTTATTTAGTGATCAAGTGTAACACCCTTATGGAAATATGACAATATTTTGTAATTATCATTTAAATCCGACTAATTTTCAAATTGTTTGTCATAAATCAACATCTCAGGAAAATGTTATGGGGTTTCAAATCAAAATATGACTTTCTGTTATGAAACAGGACATCGATTTCATACATGTCCACTGTAGAGGACACCGGGACTTAAAGCATGTTTATTACACATTTTGGGAGACACAACAAATGAATAGAGAAAAAATTATGTATCAATATTATTATGAAACTCTTGCTAATTATTACTCCCATTATTGCACTTATTTGTTCATTCTACGTTGCCACAAAAACACATTAATATGCAAATTAGATACAGTTTATAGATACATTGTATATAATGGAAAAACTCGTTTATGGCTATTTTACACATTTTGCATAAAGAAAAATGGTTTTTAAAAATATCTTTTTTTATAACAGTTGAGAATCGTCTTTATATAAAGTTTGGTATAAAAAATGAAAATTGATTTGTGATTAAAAACAAAAATCCCACTGTTTTTGCCTTTTCATGTCTATTCATGTCTTTTTATTTCTTAAAAAACAGCACTTTTTAAAGTCCCGATGTCTTCTACAGAGGACATGGCATAACATATGAATAAAATGTCAATTTTATTTTTCAAATTTTTTCTTATGCTCTAAATGTAATGACATGACAAAATACTAAATTCACAAAACTGTTTTTTCCTGGTAGTCAGGAGGATATGACTAATATTAGAATAATGCGTGGCCAAACAGGTGAACATAATTAAAACATGATGAGCATAAAGTTTGTTGATGATTGCAAAATCAATTTCATGATGTGATGGCATATAAAGGAAGATCAAATATACACTACCGGTCAAAAGTTTGGAATGATTAATATTTTTAATGTTTTCTGAAAGAAGCCTCAGCAAAGCTGAATTCATTTTGATCCAAAAATATTATTACAATTGAAGTGAATCTATTGTAAACTGTAATGTATTTCTGTGATGAGCAGCTGTATTTCCAGCATCATTACTCCAGTCTTCAGTGTCACATGATCTTCAGAAATCAGTATAATATGCTGAAATGTTGAAAATGTTTTTGCAGCTTAATATACAACTGTGATGTACTACCATTCAAAAGATTGGGGAAAGCTTAAAAAAAAAGAAAGAAAATTAATTTATACTTATATTAATTAAGGACGCATTAAATTGATCGGAAATGACAGAAATCTTTTGTAACATTATAAATGTCTTTACTATAAATATTGTGCAGCATAACTGTTTTCAACATTGATAATAATCAGAAATGTTTCTTGAGCAGCAAATCAGCATATTAGAATGATTTCTGAAGATCATGTGACACTGAAGACTGGAGTAATGATGCTGAAAATACAGCTGCGCATCACAGCAATAAATTACAGTTTAACAGAGATTCAAATAGAAAACAGCTGTTTTAAATTATAATAATATTTTAAACATTTTACAGCATTTTTGATCACATAAATGCAGCCGTGGTCAGCAGGAGAGATATTCATCAGTACTAAACATGAGTAAATCGCACACATCAAATCAGAAACAACACAAAGGGAAACACTCAGACACCTGATCAGTTTGGAGTGTGCTGTAACAGTGAAAGCTCTCGTCTCTCATGAAGCGCAGCAGCAGCAGCGTCAGTAGAAGGAGTACTGGTTCTCCACGGCTCGAGTCCGCCGCGTGCCGTCGCTCTCGTGGTAGTCGTCGGCCCCCGCGGCCCCGGGCTCCAGGAGTCTCTCGGCGCTGCTGCTGCGGCTGTGGAGGCCGGCGCTCGGCTGAGCCATCGGAGACGAGGACGAGCTGGAGGACAGCACTGTGTCTGACGGAGGAGCTGCGCTGGAGAGCTGGGGTTCGGCCCCACAGACGGCGGAGTCCCGCGGGGCAGCTGGGATCTGAGGAGCCACATCTGAGCAGTCAGAGATGCACACAGGTGAGAACACTGCGGGGATCGGGGCATGCTCCACACGGAAATTATTTTAAAGGTATTCACTTTTCACGCTCATTTGTAGTTACTTTAAAGTATTTTTTTAAAATATTTCTTATGAGCTTGTTTACCCGTGGGGACCTCAATTTAGGTCCCCACCGTGACACGAGTCCCCATGAGTCTGTGTGTATTCAGGTTTAAGTCCCCACCAGAATAGAAAAACAGGTACACACACACACACACACACACACACACTCACACACAAAAACAAACAAACAAACATCTTGTTGCAACATTTGACAAAAATCAAGATTTAACATATTTGGTCAAAACCCCATGTTATAAAAGATGAAGTGCTATTTAAGACAATATTGGCTGATTAGATGGCAATGCTGACCTAAAATGCAAAATGTTTGCCCTCTCTCTCTTCACCGTTCCCACATCTCAGACCTCAAATACATAAAATATTACCCTTTTTAGACATAGTTTCTGAAGTAAAGAGTAAAGAAAATACTATACAAACTTACTGAAACAACCAGGGGCCAGTTGCATAAACTTAGCCAGTAGTTTGACCAGCTAGCAGCTGCCAAGGAGTAACCACTCTTACTCTTCCAATACAAACAAGACCAATCTACCTTTTCATAACTGAACTTAAAAAGTTATGACCAGTGTTGAAGAAACAAAAAATTAGATGACTAACTTTTAAAGACTAGTCTAAAGAGTTTATGCAACCGGCTCCAGTTCTTTATTTACCCTTAATTTACTTTATTTACCTGTAAGACCTTTTTAGGCCTTGATTTGTGGAAGAGCAAACTAAAACTTTTTTAAGGTGTGTGCAAATTTCCAATGTTGTTATATTTTTTCTTCTTATTTTTAAAATTCATTTATACAGTATATTCATTCTGAGTTATTCTTTATGATTCTCCACATTATATCCATATTACTGTCTTATGTTGCTCATATGCTCAAGCATTATTCATTTAATCTCTTTTATTACTATTACTTCAATTTATACTCATATTCCATTGACATAGTATTTTCTCTTAAGATTTGTCATATAAAGGCACATCTTGTAAATGTGTTTATAGGACGGAAACTTGTTCTCAGTGAAAAAGATGTTTTTTATGCAAGGATGTTTTCAAGAGTAGGTATTTGCAAAGTGGCCTTTGTCTTTTGACTTCTGAAGATCATTATACTTAGATTAGATTACTCTCTTAGAAATTTTAGCAAAACATACTCAGTTTGGATTTTGTATTCATTGTTAACCTTTTTCTTTCATTTTAATTTTTCATTATGATTATCATCTGTAATTGTTATCATTTATAACTTTGACTTCCTGGATCTCTCCGTGCATCAAAGACTCAAAGAAACCCTTCCAAAATCATGACGTTCATGAACTCTGAGCTTTGATTCAGACACTTAATGCCAAGTAAACAGAGCTGAACTGGTTACTCCACTTTTCTTTTAGAGACAACTTCAGGTCCCTAGTGAAAAATGAATATGCTAAAATTTATTTGAAATAAATTTATTTCATGCTAAGTACACTACAAATACATTTACTTATTTATGTACTCAATAAAAATACCCTGCGATTGTACATTTAGTGTACTAAACTGGTATACTTAAAGTCCGCTAAATTGCAGCAACTAATTTTGTGCTTAATGCAGTTTAATGAACAGAACAGAGCCGTGACTGTGGACTCTCTCGCTGTTAGTTTGGGTGCATCGTGTACACAGTGTTGGGAAGGTTATTTTGGAAATGTAATAGGTTACAGTTGACAAGTTATCCTATTTAAAATATAATAAGTAGTGTAACTATTTCAATTACTTTATTAAAGTAATGTAACTGATTACTTTTCTAAATTTCTAATGTTTTCAACTGTTGATCATTTTGAAACATGTAAAGCAGGCAGGGTTAACCTTACAGTAGCGCTCAACACTGATTACTGTCACTTTCAAAATCTTCATCACTTCAGTTAAGATTATAATCATTGAATTTAAAGGGGTCATATGATGCGATTTCATTTTTTCCTTTCTCTTTGGAGTGTTACAAGCTCTTGGTGCATAATATATGATATCCGCTTCGTCATGCCTAGAGCTGATCCGTGCTATCAGACTTCAGCACCTCTTTTTACTTTGAGATTGTTCTGAGGTTAAAAACTGATTTAAAATCATAAGAAATAGTTTAGTAGATATGATACTGTTTTTGAAATCAAATATGTGACCCTGTTGAAAACAGTTAATCTTAAATAATACATACACATAAACCCAAACAGTTATCAAATAAGCATGTGTCCTATTCTGTGTCCTAAACTCCTGAAACATTGGTGTCTCATATTTTAGAGAAGTCGATGCAATTTATGAAAGAAGTCAATTAAATCTGTGTGTGTGTGTGTGTGTGTATGTGAAAAATATTCAGATGTAACCCCTTTTGTAATCGTTAACATTTTCAGAAGTAACTGTAACTGAATTACACATTTTTTCTAAGTAACTGTGACTGATTACAATTGTGTTTATTTGGTAATTAAATGACGTAATTCTGTTACATGTAACTAGTGAGTCCCCAGCACTGTGCGAGTCACACACGGTAAAGAGTGAGGTCGTGTCAGGTGTGTGTGTGTGTGTGTACCTGTGGGCGAGCGCTGGACTTGTACGTATGAGCGTAGCGTGATGTCTGTGGAGCCGCCGGACTCCAGCGGGATGGGGTGAGCGTGGAAGTGCTGTAACATATCAGCCACCGTCTGGAACCACAGGTGATGAACGTGACACTGACCGCTGTCATTCACAGACAACCGCAGGTGCTGCCGAACACACAACACCACAGATCCATATATAAGCGCAACTAAATTATTGATTATTAATGCATTCATTTGAGTTGTGTCATTTGGTGTTATTATTAAAAATCATAGATATATTTGAACAAATTTGTTCCACACACACACACACACACACACACATTTAATTCAACGTTAACTTTTGTGGCTTCTGTCTGGGCTGCCCCTTCACAGGATGGAAAGTCTAACAACATTAATTAACACATTATTCTCTAAATATACAGATGATATAGATATAATGTGTATGTGTGACCCTGGAGCACAAAAGCAGTCTTAAGTCGCTGGGGTATATTTGTAGCAATAGCCAAACATACATTGTACGGGTCAAAATTATATTATAAATTTTTCTTTTATACTATATTAATTGTGCATTTTTCAAATGTTTATTAAAAGTGCAAAAATTAATTAACAAAAATCTGAAAAGAAGTCAATATTTAACTTTTTCAGGCAGCATTTTGTGTGTACGGTTGTAATTTCAATTTTGGTTTTCAGCATGGCATTTATAAATACAATAACCGTTCTTTTTTCGTTTTTTCCGTCATGGTTAAAAAACGAAAAACGAATGGAAGCAAAAGTACACGGACCAATATGCATTGCTAAGAACTTCATTTGAACAACTTTAAAGATGATTTTCTCAATATTTAGATTTTTTTGCACCCTCAGATTCCAGATTTTCAAATAGTTGTATCTCGGCCAAATATTGTCCTATCCTAACAAACCATACATCAATGGAAAGATTATTTATTCAGCTTTCAGATGATGTATACATCTCAATTTCAAAAAATTGACACTTAAGACTGGTTTTGTGCTCCAGGGTCACATATATTCATATTTATATGGGAACACGTATGTGTAATGTATGTAATTATATATATATATATATATGCACTGCAAATGATTTTCATACTTAGTATTTTTGTCTCGGTTTCTAGTATAAATATCGAAACATTCTTGAATAAAGATGCATGTACTTGACTTTTCTGAAAAAGTTTTCAAAATTTTGTTTAAAAAAAAAAGGGTTTTGCTTAAAACAAGAAAAAGATATCTGCCAATGGGTCAAGAAAAATAATCTTGTTAAGTTTGTTTCTTACCCCATTGGCACATTTTTTTCTGGTTTTAACCAAAAACTAACCAATTTGTTTTTCCAGAAGACTTTCTATGTCTTTTTATGTGCTATATATACTATATAGCACTCTATCTATGAAGTTAGAAATGTCAAATTTCAATTTCCAACCACCATGTTGCCATGACTTCAACAAAAACTGTCCAAAATATTAGGCCTGGTTTCACAGACAGGGCTTAGACTAATATATATATATATGCACTGCAAATGATTTTCATACTTAGTATTTTTGTCTCGGTTTCTAGTATAAATATCGAAACATTCTTGAATAAAGATGCATGTACTTGACTTTTCTGAAAAAGTTTTCAAAATTTTGTTTAAAAAAAAAAGGGTTTTGCTTAAAACAAGAAAAAGATATCTGCCAATGGGTCAAGAAAAATAATCTTGTTAAGTTTGTTTCTTACCCCATTGGCACATTTTTTTCTGGTTTTAACCAAAAACTAACCAATTTGTTTTTCCAGAAGACTTTCTATGTCTTTTTATGTGCTATATATACTATATAGCACTCTATCTATGAAGTTAGAAATGTCAAATTTCAATTTCCAACCACCATGTTGCCATGACTTCAACAAAAACTGTCCAAAATATTAGGCCTGGTTTCACAGACAGGGCTTAGACTAAGCCAGGATTAGGCCATAGTTCAATTAGGACATTTATGTAATTTTTTTTTATAAAAGTGTCTTAGAAAATAACAGTACTGGTGTGCATTTTGAGACAAAACAAAAGCACTGACATGATTTAAAATTCAGTCAGTCCATGTTTCTTTCAGTTAAAACAGCTCAAGTCATGCATTTTAGTCTGGGACTAGGCTTAAGCCTTGTCTGTGAAACGGGGGTTAATGTTTTAATATTATATACCATCACACGTTTTTACAAATATCAGTACATGGTCATGCATGGTTCATGCATATTTTGCAGTATTTTGAAAAATATAAGCACTAGTTTTCCATTTATGGAAATGTATTAATATATTGCATTATATTTTCCAGTATATTCTCAAATATTTTTGTTTCGTACAGGAAGCTGGTTAAAGTCTTGAATAGCAGATGCATGACAGATGTCTGCTCAGATGTCATTATGGTCACAAGCGCTGAATGTCGCGGCTCACCTTGGCTTTGCCCTGGAAGTTGAAGGTGAGGACGTATTCTCCAGGACGCGTCTCGCTCTGGCGGATCACAAACAGACCGTGACTCTGTGCACCGCCAGCGAGAACGAGCTGGGCCGCCCGCACCCGTGACAGCGTCCCGTGGAACCATGGGTAACCCGCCAAACTGGCATCTCCTTCCGCTTCCCTTGGTGTTTCACCTGGGCTTCCTGAATGACAGGAGTAATGTGAATGCTGTGTGTGTGTGTCTGTGTGTGTGTGAGTGTGTCTGTGTGTGTGTGTCTGTGTGTGTGTGAGTGTGAGT